CTGTGAGATTTAATATCAAGTTTTCGCTTTTCTCTATATTTGTTTGTAGCGAAGGGGTTATAAGTATTATAACTACGAAGCATATGTACATACTATGCACATAGAAGAGCACAGTAGGTTTCCCTAGGGATAATAATATAAGGAAATGTTATCCCACTGCTTCTTTTAATACGTTCACGATACATTAACAATTAGGACTGTAAAAATTCGGTGAAAGAATAAAATAAATTTTCAAATTTCTAAATTGATGAATTCACACACTCTTAAATTTATAAATATTTAAAGTTACAATTCAAACTTTCAGATTGTTAAATTTATACGCTCTCAAATTGAGAAACATTCAAAGTTGCAAATTTTCAAACTCTAAAATTGTTAAATTTTTACGTTCATAAATTTAATAAAACTTAGTCGCGAATTTTGAAATTTGTAAACATTGAAGTTTTCAAATTTATATATTTATATATTTAGGAAATTTAAAATTTTCAAATTTACGAACCTTCACATTTTTTAAATTAGAAACTTTTAAGTTTAACCATTTTCGAGATTTTAATTCCATAAACTTTTATATTTATACATTGTGAAGGTTACAAAATTACAAATTTTTTAATTTAAAATCTTTTAAACCATCAAATTTACAAATTTAGAAATTTTGCAACTTTGCAAAACTTGAACTGTTTTTAACTAATTTGAAATGCATTATTTCAGTTTATAAAATTTGAGGAATAATGTAGTTTTTACGTATTAAAGTTATGGAAAATGTTCATAATGTAGAATATACGTACATGTTATAATATTAATCTATTAAATCGCAATAAAATAAAATAAAATCTAGTAGGTCTTCAAAAGATACTTGTTTTAAAGTTAACAAAGAAGTAATCATAATTTGATTACTAGGAAAGTATTGATAACACTAGATTGGTCGTCAATGCCTTGCGAACTATAAACAAAGATATTAATTCTCTATCTTCATAAATTGTTACAACAATAAATATAGGCTTCTGATGTTTTAAATTATCAATTATTATTCTATCATGAAACAATATTGAGGCAAGTAATATTTTTGTCAAAATATTGATCACCCGATTTTCAATTATATTTGTTAAACTATATTATCACTATTAGATTTAATAATAAATTAAATCTATTCGATGTATCACAAAAACACATAAGTAATTCATACCGATTAGAAACTTACCTGTACAACTGTTTCAGATTCATCATTGTCACAATTCTCTTCTTCACCGATAAACTGTATTTCCTCTTCCTTCACATAAATAACAATTTTTAAATTTCACTAATTCAAACGATTCTTGTCTTGTTATGAATTTTTAAATCACATTTTTCATTGTTCATTGTCAATCACAGTTTGTATCGTTTTAAGTATAGAGAATTTCACGTATTATTATTAAATGTAATGCAGCATCGTGTGAAACTTGTCGGCTTCTGAAACGAAATACACTGGCAAATGCTGACGCAGCACAGCTTGAGGTAGCTTGTAAGTTTGACAACAAGTTTCGACTTTAGTAAACTTCAGTGCGTCCTCATTTATCAGTAGTCTTTCATCATAGTTTCCTACTAAACATTTACGGTTTTTATTGTTCATTGGAATTTTCTGTATAGAACTGAGTTTCTTGATTTAAGCATGAAATTCGAAACAAATATTCTGTATGAAACCATAAGAATGTATGTATATTTAAGTTATTTTATATGTTAAATACCATGAGGATTATAAAATAATTTTAAGAAAAAAAATACGCCGACTTCGGAATGCACTAAAAAGTATAAAATAATTTCTATTTCCTAATGAAGTAATTTCTATTACATTCAATCAAAAATATGAACAAAATTGTTCAGAATCATGTCCGTGATAAGATATTAAAAGCGCACTAAAATCGGGAAAAGTTTATTTCAAAAGTTGTCGGTTTTTTTGCAATAACAACACTTTGCAATTAAAAAATGAACAACTTTTTGATAATGGTACCAATGGGGAGTCAGAACCTACCAGATGCAAAAGGTTTCGTTCTGATCGGTCCACCCAGCTAGGCGTAATCGGCGAACATACATAGGAAAAAAAAAAAAAAAAAATACTGATCGAATTGAGTAACCTCCTCCTTTTTCGAAGTCGGTTAATTAGTGACAGGTAGTATCTGTCTTGGCGCTGAGACATTTTAAAGATTTTTAACTTTTAAAATGAAAAGTTTCAACATTGTCAAATTTGAAAATTTTCAAAATCAAACTTTCAAACTTTGAATTGTTCAATTTTATATTTGAAAATATGAAACTTTTGAAGTTTTAAATCTGGAAATTATCAAATGTTTTGAAAATCAGAAGTTTAACCAATTTAAAAACTTCAAACCTTCAAACTTCGAACTTTAAAAACTTCAAACAGAGAAATTCAGAGGTTTACAAATTTTTAAATTTCGAAAATTTTAAAATCACAACATCTTCACTTTCGAACTTGTCAATTTCACAGATTTTGGAAATAGGAAGTTCTCAAATTTTCAAATTTAGAAACTTTTAGAATCAAAAATTCTTAGAAATAAAAATTTATAAATTCAGAAACTTGTAAGCTTAAAGATTTCTGAAATCACAAAATCTTTTGATTTCCCTCATAAATGTCTTATACCAAAGCGGCTAAGAAATTTTAAATAATTTTAAACTCTCCAAAAATATAGGTCATATGTATTAAGATTATATTAGCAGTAAGTAGAAAGTTGTAATTAAAACATGAAGCAATTGTATTGTATGTATAATTGAAGTGCAAAGTAAAAAAATGTAAACTATAATAAATAAACATTTTACAATTAAGCATTTCAAATGTACAATCGTGATATTTATTAAAATTTATAATGGATTTATTAAAACATTGTCGTTTTACTAATTTTATTTATGTTCTGTTTTCGAACATGGGCATAGTTGTATATTCATTCGTTCATTTGGAAAAAGTGCAACTTTTTACTTACATAATAAAAATTATATTCATTCTATTTACGTGAAAAATTCTAAATCAATAAAATTTCACATATACGTTAGTCTTTTGTTATTATCAAATTATACAGTAAAGTCTTACTGTAAAACCTTATTGTCACGGATGATGTTATAAATCTGTTATTATTATCATAATCAGTGGATTCGAAAATATAAATCCCACAACCTTAAGAATATATAAAATTAATTAAAAATAATCCGTCTATTATAATTATGGTTTACAAACAATTATTTATTAGAAATATAATATATATGTATAAAAATGAATGTTGTACTTAGTGTACTGTTTGTAATAAATATGAATCGTGCAAATATCATAATTGTTTATAATAAATTGTACTCAATAAAGACAATTCTTCATCTACTATTTAATGGTATTATCTAGTTATTATTACAAAAAGTGGTAAGTACTGAAGTAATTATAACAACTATCACTATAACTTCAAATTTTTAAAAAATAGAATTTGATAGAAAGCATTTTTTTTCAAAATATATTCCAAGTAAATAACTTTTAAATTCTAGTCAAAATATGTGTTAAATGATAATACTCCTAGAAGTTATTTTCAGTAATTTTCATATAATCATACTAAGGTATGCACACTTCAAATTACTGTTGCAGAGACGTTTTAACAATTAATCTGCCAAGCTTTCAACTGAGCCGAGTAATCTCGTTTAGGAATTGCATTCCTAGACGATGCTCGTTATTGTGGAAATGGGAAGTTTTTGCGCTATCATTGTACACGATAAAGTTCGTTTGATGTCAGCCGTAGGTACAAGTAATAGCATCAATTCATGAGATCACCAGACGGTAATCAGTGTGATGAGTGATAACAAACAACAATTACTACGTGCAGTCTGGGGCAAAAAGATAAAACTAGGCCAATAGGGAAGAATGTAGCAGAAATCAAATTTGTTTCACTATATGGACTAATGTACAGCTTAATTAATGAATAAGTTATTCACAAAATGGGATTTTCAATCAAATTTTGTATTTTATAACTGTAATTATAATCTAAAAGGATCTCCTAACTACTAGCTAACACTTTTGTAATTTCAATTTTCTTTTTTAAATAATAACTATCAGTTGGTATTTGTTAGGTACATTTCTGCTACTCATTTTAAATTTATATTTTTGATAGTTTAAATCATCAAATGTGTGTCGCCATGAAAAGTACAGCAAATTCTACTTATATTACTACATTTACACATTATAAATTTACAAATTGAGAAATTTATGTACTTCAAAAGTATCATTTAGGAATTTAAAAATTTTTTAAACTATTAATTCCCTAATTTAAGAACTTAGGAATTTTGAAATTCGTAAATCTACAAATTGAAAAATTTAGGAATTTCGAAATTCGCAAACTTCCAAGTTTTTAAATTGTTAATTCCGACAATTTACAAAATTAATAGTTTCTAGAAGTTTGAAGTAACGAATAGACAAAATCTAAAATTTTTAAATATTTAATTTTTCAAATGTAATCATTTTTTCCATAATTAAATATTATGAATCAACACAAATCACTAGAAATCATCATTATTACAATTGCTAACAATTGTGATTGCTAACAATGATTATTCAGATTCATAATTGATTTTACTATCGATATTATTCACATTAAATAACTGAGTGTAAGAGAAGTTCGATGTAATATTAGTTTACGGAGAAAATTATCAATATCAAGAATTTGTATAAAACAGATTTTATATACAGATTTTTTATTATCAATAGGTAATGAAGCAATTTAAAAATAAATATGTATATAAAAAACAGTAATGGTCTTGAAAATTAAAAAAAAATAACTTTGAAAAAGAAAATATTTCTTACCACATCTTTTCGTATTATTAATTAACATTTTGTGTCATTAAAATAGGAACAAGCAATTGGATGAACTTATTTAAAATTGGTTAGATCTACATATTTTATATGTATATACTTCTCGCATTAGAAATGATGAAACATGATTGGGGTTTAAAAATTGTAAATCAACAAAGTTCATCAACAAACAAAATACAGTTCAAATTGATTTAATTAATTTATAATTATAATTCTCAGTTCATCTGCAATAAATAGTGAAAAGACATTTATAATTGTATAACAATATTGATAAACAAATAATTATGTTATAATGAGATAATTGTTTGAATTAAGTACATAAAACTTCACGCGTAATAACTGTGCTTAAAAAATAAATACATTATATATAACACTTGTTTGATATATTTTCCTCACACTTAATAAGAATAAATGTTAACACTTAATACATCAGTAATACTTGTGCATAAATGCGAGGACTAGTTTATCCATGTTGCACATATGAACTAAAATGTAATAATCACATTGATATAAGATGGCACGGAGATAAATGTATATGATAATGGGCTAAATACTTTGAGTTATACGTTTCAATAATAACTGCGTAATTATCACAATGAACTTAATGAAATAGAAATTAAACATACGTAGTTTTTTGTAAGATTTGAAAAATTAGTGAGGTCCAACTGGCACTTTATGACGCTTTATGTATCATCCCTAGATTTATTTATTTTTTGGTGCAATATTAGTATTAACGCGATTTCATTTCCTGTTTCACGCAGGAAGTAAATGCCTGTAAACGCTTACGCCGCTGCTGAGACTGTAACATATAAAAGGTATAAAAGTCTACTAAAATCAAATATATATACACAATTTCTGTTATAAAAAAGTTAGTAGTAATATTTCCTTTTAGAATAAATTGAAGAGCAGTCTTTAAAGAAGCAATATTTTTGAATCCTGTTAAATTAAAACAAGTTTTACCAGTTAGTACCTTGAAGCCTCTGTGAAGACGATCTTTCATAATTGCAATAAATTCTTGATAAGATAATTGACCATCTCCATCTTCATCGAAAAGTGCAAACACAGTATCAATAATGTGATTTGACAGAACACTTCCTGTGCATATTTTTACAGCTCGTTGAAACTCATCTAAAAGTAAAAAAAATAGTAAAAATTCATAACTGTCGTTTTGATGGATGCAATGAAAAGCAAAACTGAACTAATGAAATCATTTTCCTACATAATTATTATTTGTGTACATGAATGAAAAATAATAGAACACATCAACCTGTATACTTATAATTATGCAGCTATTTTAGGTTAAAAAACAGATAATCTTATAAGTCTTAAATATTAAGAAATACTTTTATATATACAATATGTTCGGTTTGAGTATAGACACTACTAATTTTCTTATTATTAAAAATTCAAAAAAAGATTTTACATAAAACTTTATACGATATTTATATAATATTTAATAAAGTATTTGAAGTTTTCTTTTAATTGTAATTTATAGAAACAATTTTAATTTAATTTTAGTTAATGGAAATAGATTATTTACTACTAATAATCTTATTACATAAATCAAGACGAATTCGACGATATATATGACGAGTATGTTTAGGCAATAATCCATCAGCTATTGTGATAAATATTAGTGACAAATGTTTGATTACTGTCTCTAACGCTCATACTATATGTATATTTAATACTAATTTAAAAGTAAAATATTATACCTAACAAAGTAATGTAAGGACAAAGTTCTTACTTTGTAAGAACAAAGTTAAGAATTATTAAAACATTAATAATTCTTAAGCTAAAATATATGTACATAAAAAGATTGTGGAAAAATAGTATTGATTCAACTTTTTAACGAAAGATATCTTTTACAACCTTTTGAAATCGGATGATCTGCTAGAGTATACATTCGCATTGCAATTGAAAAGTCGTCGAGATTGTTCAAAAATTGATAGAATCGTCTGAACTCCTCGAACCCAATACCTATCTGAAGATCTGGGTTTTGCAGAATTCTATCCAAGTATTTGTCGTATCTGCAAATAGAGAAAACGTGAATTAATTACTGAAATTCATTAAACATTTTGACAATAAATAATTTTATAATCGCAGATGTATTAGCTGTATGAAATGTTTCCATCGTTTACATATAAGTAGCGGTACAGAAGGTATTTTTGTAAAATTTTTCAAAATATTTCGTTATATTATATTATTATTATTATTATTATATTATTGTATATCTTGTCATGAATAATTTTATAATAGCAACAATTATGAATATTAACAATTTATTGACAATTTAATAATTACTGAATTTATTCTCAGAATAGAATTATAATTAAAACTATTGTATGAGGGATCGGTTTGTTTGAGGGTCGTCGGGTACGATCGGGCGCGATCGGGCGACTCGGACAATTAGCGCCAAGATAATTCGGCGATATTACGAGTTGGCGCGAAAAATAGCGAGGGAACAAAGAATCATATAGCAATTGTTTCGTTTTACACGGGAATCGGTAGAGAACGAGGAAAACGGTGCACAGTGGACCAAATCGAGAAATTCAGTGACATTTCATGAAAAAATCAACTTTCTAATATGAATACCTACCTAGTACACATTGATTCCTAAATGTCCACTGATGTCGAAAATGAAAAAATTGAGAAAATATAGTACTACTTTTGAATAATATGAGCATTCAAAGTTGGATATTTTAAAAGTACAACTGTTCGCCCGAAAAATCGGGTTTTCCTGTTGAAGATTTTCTCAGGGCCTACTTTAATATTTTGCCTTCAACTTTAATATTTTGCCTTCATTTCTTTTCTTAATAAAGAGCATTCTTTCTAAATTAGAAATATGCTCTTCGTTAATAGTTACTGTACGTAGTGTCTTTAGAACATAGCGTTAAATGAAACGAAGAAAATTCTTAAAACTCGTTACAATTAACAGGACATATCTTTCAAGTCCCAAGGAGTCCCAGTATGTAACAAATTGGAATGTTTTCAGTAGATTTTCTTCTTTATAATCATATAGAAACTGTTTCCCCCCTCGTGCCACTGTTGAAATTATCACTATTTGAAGTTGAGCGTGGCATGTCATTTTACGCGTATGCGTTTGCATCCGCTATGGAATCCCTGCATCACAGTAAGTTCGTTCCTCGAACTATATTATCTGGTTCAAAATGTCACTGAATTTCTCGATTTGGACCACTGTGCGGCGTGGCGTCGGGGGACAGTCTCGTCGTAACCGTTGAAGAAGTAGCAAGTTGTGCGAAAGTTGTCATTAATTGTTTGTACTTGATTTTTATATTCTTGTTAACTTATTAAAACTATTTTATTGTTATGCCCCAAAAAAAAAACTATTAATCCGTCAACCTCGATAATTTCGATCCTACATGTATTATTCATAAAATATTAATTTTCTATATAAAAATAGCCTTATCTGAATCTTTGTGCTCCTTTCTTTTATTCAAAAATGTACTTAGCAATTATTTCCTAAAAAATGTAAACCTGAATTCTACAACTGAAGTACATTAAGTTACACTTTATTAATTTTATAGAAAAGCGAATAAAAGCTGCAAAAAGTCCTGTAATTTTGGATTACTATACATATATGTTCAAAGCTTTATGAATGTCGATGAAAAATATATCATTTCATTGTTTAAAAGTAAAATCGTGCATTAGACAATATTATCATTTAAAATAAAATGAACTTGGCACTATCCGGTTTTGGTGGTAGATTTATAATTTCAATGACTTAAGGGGGGCAATACCTTTAGAATCTTAAAAAATTGAAAATTTTTTTTTTCCATAAAATGTTAGTGTAACATCTTTTCATTTTACGCGTATGCGTTTGCATCCGCTATGGAATCCCTGCATCACAGTAAGTTCGTTCCTCGAACTATATTATCTGGTTCAAAATGTCACTGAATTTCTCGATTTGGACCACTGTGCGGCGTGGCGTCGGGGGACAGTCTCGTCGTAACCGTTGAAGAAGTAGCAAGTTGTGCGAAAGTTGTCATTAATTGTTTGTACTTGATTTTTATATTCTTGTTAACTTATTAAAACTATTTTATTGTTATGCCCCAAAAAAAAAACTATTAATCCGTCAACCTCGATAATTTCGATCCTACATGTATTATTCATAAAATATTAATTTTCTATATAAAAATAGCCTTATCTGAATCTTTGTGCTCCTTTCTTTTATTCAAAAATGTACTTAGCAATTATTTCCTAAAAAATGTAAACCTGAATTCTACAACTGAAGTACATTAAGTTACACTTTATTAATTTTATAGAAAAGCGAATAAAAGCTGCAAAAAGTCCTGTAATTTTGGATTACTATACATATATGTTCAAAGCTTTATGAATGTCGATGAAAAATATATCATTTCATTGTTTAAAAGTAAAATCGTGCATTAGACAATATTATCATTTAAAATAAAATGAACTTGGCACTATCCGGTTTTGGTGGTAGATTTATAATTTCAATGACTTAAGGGGGGCAATACCTTTAGAATCTTAAAAAATTGAAAATTTTTTTTTTCCATAAAATGTTAGTGTAACATCTTTAAAATATTGTCTCAAAATTTTAAAGTGAAATACGAAGCCCTTTTGAAGTTATGGCCGATTAGCGCCGCGGGTATACACGCGTTCAGTGCGGAGGACTGAAACTTTAAACGCGTTTTTCTCAAAACTACGTTCTTAAAATTGGCGTGGCTGATAACTCAAAAACTAGTTTATCAATCGCGCTCAAATTTTTTGCACATATCCATGACAATACTATCTAACATATGAACCTAAATGTATGAAATTAATTGAACATTAAAGTCCTTTTTATTGCAAAATAGTGCAAAAATTTTCAATAAAATTCAAAGTTTTTCTTTAAAAGCGTGCCATTTCTTTAATTTTACACATTTTGCACATTTCTGAGGTTCATCTACTAGCTGTGAATGTTAGTTTTCGAAACATTGTCTGCAAACTTGTTTCAGACCAAAGGATCTAAGGCTAGAACCCACACCGATTCACGAGACGCGCCAAACACTTCCAGGAAGGACTGTTATAATTCCGCCATTTTTAAATGTATTTAAAAACAAAAAATTTTGTGTAATAGGCAATAGTTATAATAAATTATACGTGAAATTTCAAAAACGCAAAACAAAGATATCCTATACAAAAAAATTCACAAAAATCAGCCTATTTTCATCGGTCTAAAGGTATTGCCCCCTTTAATATCAAAATGTTGTGATATAATACTATTTAATTACAATTTAGTATTTTTTCTTATGTGGTTTTTCTAAAGCAGGTGTCATGTTCAAAATCATCTTAATTCATAGCCTTTAATTAGAAATGTCGCATACATGATTTTATCATTTTTATTTTTACATATTTGTTAAGGTGGTTCTTGTATTAAATAATAAATAATATTTTTTAATAACATCTAGTTTCAAACAGAGAAAGTATAGGTTAAACTTTGATAGGGTCAAAGCTAACCCTGGAATAGTTAATACTGTATTCAGATTATACAATATTGGATAGCAGATTCAATGAGCATTGATAGACCAAATCCTGTAACTTACAGATTTAAAATGTACTAAAGCTGAAAGGTACTAAGAGCTTTCTGTTTACTATTTTAGTGCAAGATATATACTCTTGATATAATATTTTACACCACTGTATTAAAAACTGAACGACATTGAAAGATACCATTGTTACCATGTAAAGAAGTGAAAAATTTAATAAGCGACACGTACAAGCTGTCATTTGTTTGCTCAAATGAACTTAATATACATATTCTACCCATAATTAAGCAGATATAACGAATAGACGCTAAGTTAATAGAATAGATGTGCATTATATGAAATGATATCATCAACATTAAAATCATCTAGTATCTTTTCTCTCATTTTTATATTTGATATTAATATTTATATGACAATGCATACTTATTGGCATATTCTGTGTACAATAAATTATGATATAACAGTATTATTTGATATGAATTGTACATTGCATATTAATTTGCAGTAATTATCCCAAATTAATTTATATCTCGTATAGTTTATAATTATTGATATTGAAACGCTTGTTTTTTTCTTTACATTGTTCTGCTTATAATAATTAATACATTTACAGTATTTTTACGTAAAGATAATTTTTCCCTGCTTCCTTTATAAATAATTTCAGCCATCGCCTTTGAGAGTTAATAAAAAAAATTGCATAAACGATGGAAATTGTCACGTATTTTCGTAATAGAACTTACTCGTCTGTAACGAGATCAGTGTAACGCAACAGAATCTTTGCAAAATCCAACTCTGTAATGACATCTCTTCCTTTGCTAAATTCGAGAAATTCAAGCTCCAGAACTTCGTGCTGTAAATTTTCCATGAAACGTCTGAAATCTTCATATTTCAATTCGTTGCTGCCGTCTTTTCCAAAGAAGTGTATCATTAGAGTTGTGTCTACAGCATGTCGACGTTGCAAACCCTGCAAAAATATTGTTGTCCATAAAACTATTTATAATTATAAGTTCTATAAACTTTAATATTACTAAAACATATACAGCCAAATAATTTCAGTAAGTTCAGAGCTACATACATATATACATGAATAATATTGATTTTCGTAACTTTGGAAACTGGGAAACGTAGATATTTGGGAATTCAGTAATTTGCAGATTTGCAGAACTTGAAAATGTTTAAAAGTGGAATTTTGGAAATTTGGAAATTTGCAACATTGGAGATTTGAAAATTTGAAAATATAAAAACTTTTTCAGGAACTCGAGAATTGGGAAATTTAAAGTTATGAGATTTTATAAATTAAGAAATTTGAAAATTTTGTAAATCTTATAGGTGCAGTAAATTTTATAAATTTCGTAATAATACTGCCGCTAACACGTTTCATATTTAAAAATCGCGATGGGCGCAGACTCAGGCGTTTGAGAGTGAATGAATTCACATTATACAAATTACTATATTTACATTACTATCTTCAACACTTCAATCTTATTTATTATAGTAATAATACTGCTTACCTGATCATCATCGATGTACTGAAGTTGAATCTCTTCAGGGGTTGTTTGTCTTTCTGTCAGAAGGTCCAATTTTTCTTTGGTTTCGGTGCCATGACGGCCTCTCCAAGCATGGCTAAAAACTTTTTCCATCTACACCAATCGGAAAGAGTGTTACTATTAAAATTTCTATCGTGCAGTTTAATGTAAAGTCTTTGTAACAAAACATACAAGTGGATTTGCATAACAGAGGCAAAATGGCGGCAATGATTTCAGCATCCAATGTTATGGGTCTGAAATAAATGGCAAGAGGGTTAGCATGGCAAAGATTAATAATGAATGGCACACGTATATTATTCTTTCGACTAGAAATTATTATGATAAAAATTTATGTGCCAACTTAAAATAATGTAGTTTTTAATAAAATATAGTTAGATTTGGCTATTATTTAGTTATGGCAGCTAGTTTAAATACTCACCGTATATTTAATAACAATATTACATTATAGATTTAATGAATTATTAATATACCACAAATATAATTATGTGTTTAAACATCGTATTTAATTACTTGAATTTTTTATACCTATAGTAACATTTTCTATTTCACATCAAATAAAATAGTTTACACGGAAATTTATTAAACAGAATTCCAGTTATGTTTTATACTTTGTGTTCAAATAATTTTATTTAACTTCATTCATGTTTATAAAATATACTGAATATTTAAATTTTCTTAAATTTGTAGATAATAACGGTGATGATATATTTTTTATTTAGCCAGAAACAGATAAATTATTGTGTTTTATATTTAGTTTACCGAGCTCAAAAAATGCAAGTTCGTGGTAATTAAAGGTTGTAAAAAGTTAATTAGAAAATTCAAATTCACTCTTTGCAAAACCCAAACCAATGCGTGTATATTTCACACATCGAAGACTTACGTAGGAATTAGAGATAATCTCGTGTTTCTTATTTTCTTCATGGTTGTTACTATTTTTCCGTTTGAAACAGAGCTCTCGGTTCGGTGTGATTATAGAATTCAACTAATGCATCGAGAAGAAATAGACAGAAATTATTAACTGTTCTTTTAATTACCGATAAATTAAATGAAATTAATATAACGAAATATATCACTTTGCACATAAATAAAAGCATGATTAAGCGAAAATATAAATGAAACATAAAAAAAACTAGAATATACAAATAAACGAAAACATATTAATCATTGAAATGCAACAAAAGAAAAATGAATGAATAAATCAATACGTGGCAACGATAAAAAAAGAATTAAAATTAATATCAGAATATAAATTATTGTGTTAGCTTTATTTTGTTTTTGTTAACGGTGAGGGGACAGAATAAAAAATATTTCTGGTAACAAGTTATCAGAAAAAGTGTAAAATATACATTTCTTCAGAACAATTTAACAAACTTTTTTAGTCTTTCTTGTTCTACTTGTTTTTTTCCAAATTAATCAGTCCTAATTAAGAGTGATTATTTTGTAATATCAGAGTAGCTAGAAAAGAAAATAAGAGTCAAAAGAAAAAAATATATTTTTCTAACATCTATGTAAAGAATTGGGAAATTAATTTATTCCTTTCATGAATAAACATTCTAAACAATAAATATTTAATTTTTCCAAAGCAAGTCTGTATATAAAATTAGAACGCTTCTTATGAAAAATTTATTACCAGGTATATTATTTATCTCGTCCCCTAAAAAGAAGAATATTCAGAATTAAAAAAAAAATGTTCTGATGGAAAATTATTAGAATTAGAAGTTAAAAATAAAAGATAGCATAATTAATTAAAATTTTACAGGAACTTAAAAATTATTTTTTTTTTTAGTGAAGGTCAAGATTGTGGATTAATTAAAAGGGTCCTGAAAAACCTCATTCCTTATAATTGTTACCATTCAGGGATATTAACGTGGTTGGAACATTTTTAATTATCCTTATGCAACCCTTTCTTTATTCTGAAAACTGGTTTTAGAGCAAATAGGGTCGTATTAGATTATTAGGAAACAACTACGAGGAAAACTTTTATGAAATTTATATTTTACTTTCTAATATAGAATTTTTAATTAAAAATGTTGCTCATAATCATGAGCAAGTTGCTTGTCATAAGAGCATTTTTATATATTCACATCACAAGACTTTAAAAAATGTATTATAACTTTTTACTACTACCTTAAAAGAAACTCAAAAAGATTTTTGACAATGTAATAATTTTATCCCTATATCATTCTTATAGAATTTTAATAATCAAGATAAAATTAGAAGATAAAATTTTTGATATAACTAAAACATAATCAAAATGAAATTTGAAACGAGTTGTTGTACAAATAAATAATAATCAAAATAAAATTAAAATACCGAATTTCTTAAAAATCTGTAGATGATAATCTATCAGTCTGTAACCAGCATCAGATAAAATAAAACATTTGGAAATGAGTATAAAATGAAATGAGATAACATTAAATGCAAGAAAAACCAGAAAGAGACATGATAATAACTAAAAATTTTCTCAGAATAATTTATAATATTAAGCTCGATTATGAGTATGAACTCGCGTAATTTTTTCTTAAGATTTGATTATCCACTATCTATCGGTTAATCAAGATGTTACTGAACAAAGATATGATGTAAATTTCAGTTTATTTCTTTTGGGTATTAAAAGCATTTCATATTAGTGATTTTAAACGAGGACTATGAGTTTTAATAACTTCATGTTGATTGATGTTTTGTAGTTTTCAACTACTGTCAAGATCAAGGTAATTAGGGCAGGGTCGCTTAATCGGCAATTTTACCTAAAGCCCTTCACTAGGTTCGCGTTGTGAAAATTTAAATGTCAAGATCTGAAATTTTTAATTTCCATACGATTATTTCCCTTCACCCAGTTCCTGTTTCATTTTTTTTAAAAAACTACATATACTAGAAGCAAAGTTACGGTAATTCTTATTCAAAACCTGCTTCATTTAGTCCAAATTAGGGAACTTTGAATGTAAAAACTACATTACAAGATAGATAAAAAAGGAATGCTCGAGGATAATTAAAAAGTATCCTGTGATTAACATTCATGGCTGAACATTATTTAAAGTAAGACTAAAAACTACTAATATGAATATTTTGATATGGTCGTTCTGGACAGACGATGTTAAAACATCAAGGAAAGAGTAAATCGATGAATACTGTTAAGCAAGTTCGTTAGATGTCAAAAGCGGACAGCCGTCATGGGCTGATTACAACTTGCAAGCAATTAAGGAATCGATAATAGTTGAGGCTGTGCTCTCCGTTCGAATCGCTTTTTTTCCATGAATATATTTAAACTCACTGCACGTCTAGTTTCATCGTCGAGTTCTCGATGCTTCACGTTGCCGCTGAGTAACCGTCGTATCTGCGAAAATTACAAACGCAACCGTGCAAATTGAAAAATTCTATTCCTTCCATCGAACACATTCTTCCTCGAGTCTCGCATTCTGCGTTCTCAATTTTCTCGTTGTCCCCTTCTTCTTCTTCAATGTAATCACTTTTAAACCAGTTACCGTTTCTTATTTTGCCACGTGCTTTGGGTCACTGTGCCACTCGCATCGATGAAATTAATTAACGTTTGTAATTAAATCTGGAGTAACACGTTTACTGTTTTGTTAATTTCAACGAATGATTTAGATTAAACGAGTAAACATTTTAAAAATATCAACTTCTTTTTCTGTACGAAATTTTATTTGCGTTAATAAAATGCGAAATTTTTATTTGCTTCAACACGGTTGGATGTTCAAAACGCTTCATTTCTTTGAAGTTATTTTTTTATAATAGATTTTATGGTAGAAATTTCACAGAATTAAGGTGGTATTTTCTGTAAAATTTTAATGTCAATTATAATTAGTATTTAGATTTGTTTATAATTTATAGTCATTTATACTCCACTAATTAATGTTATTATATAAATTAATAGTGATTTGGTGTTGAGTAATTGAAGCTAATTTTTAATATTCTTGAAAACATAATGAAGCACAAGATTATTTCTTTTCGAACATTCAGTTTACACATATAGAATGAAAAAGGTTATAAGTACACCTTAATTTTTTCTTATTAATTTATATCATTTAATTATACCATTTAAGTATATTATTTATAATTGCACTAACCACGTCAATTAATGTGAGTTATCTATTTGACATCGAAAATTAAAAATTATAAATTTTGCCACAATATTTCAAATATTATTATTATTAAAAAACACGCTAATTAAAACAATAACAGTAAAGTTTAAAATAGGTTTTGACGATATTTTTTAACAAATAGATATTACGTATGAAACAATATTAGATATTATTTCCATACATTTTTCACATTACTGGGTTTTTAATATTTTTTAAAACGCGATTCTTTGAAAATTTTTATTATATAATTAGTTTATAAATAAGTTTTCTTCTCCTTCCATAATTCAAAACGAAATAAAGGTATGATTTACTGTGTAACTGTAAACGATATTGATCATGCATTTGATTAAAACTGTTACGTTAAAAGTCATTACTTTATTTTATATACGTGCTATAAATAAATAAATACTGGGCGCAGCAAAGTATCCAGTCAAATTACTTAAAAAATGTGTCAACAATAAATTTTTTGAAACTTTTTTCAAAAAAAGGCGAAGTGATGCTACTTTATTTGAAATATTACAGTGAAATAATCATGAACGTATTTGTATAGTGCAACAAAATTTAGAAGATTTGTAGATCAAGTTATCACGTGCGGAAAATAGGAAAAAAAAGTTATCTTACCACAAGAAATTCGGTTTTGTCCACACGTTCATTGCCATCTGTGTCGAACATGTTAAACGCGATTTGAAAACCTGATTTAGGTTCTGAAACAAATTCCTCGTTGTTTATCGTTTGCTTATAATTATAAATTTTACACGCATACAAATATTTTGGCGGTTTTTAATAAACGACAAGAATAATATGTACTTACTGATCAGGATGGACAAAAGAAACAGATACTCCGTGTAAGAAATGATTCCTAAACAGAAAACAAATGCAAACAAATTATTTCCACTGCTATCGTTATATTGTTACATAGTATTACAGAAAATTATCGTGATTTACTAAATACTGCAATTTCCATTTCTAATCATCTATATTAATAAATATAAATAATAATAGTTAATTTAAATAAATACTGAGATGATTTAAATAATACTCAAGTTAACATTATTGTGTTAAAGATCATTCAAGAAGTTCCCCTATGACGGTGTCTATTAACAATTATAATTACAGATTTCAACAACATAAATGATTAAATACTCATATATTTCTAGTCATCAGTTTTTTAAAGACATATGCAGGAATCTATAAAACGCTTTATTTAGATTAAAAGAAACGTCTAATTACCAATAAAGTAACAAGAAAAGGTTTTTCATTTAAACAGTATGTCACGAAAAAATTTTAATACTTTGAGGATAAAATATCGTTAAATATAAGCAAAAAATTCTAATGCATATAGGTTATAAAATTTACATATTAACAATTAAGGTGAAGTGGGATAGGTGCAGACTGGTTTTTGTAAAGCTGGTATTTAAACGTAAGTATTTTCAGTCTGCTATGTAAACACTTAACGCTATCGATATCGAACACTTTGCAGAATTACTACTATTTAATTAATATTAACTAGGACCTTAATTGTCCTTGTACATTTTGATTTTGATAGGAAATTGTTTAAAATGTCAACTACTCTGCAGTTTCCCCGAAAATGCGGTAAGAGTCTAACTTGAAGTTAAATACTTCGAAATTTTATTTCATGTGCAATGGGGCAAGAGCAGAATTATTAATAAATCTGCTATAAAATGCTTTTTACTGCATTATGCAAGTACTCTATACTGTAAACAAGTACTCTTAGCTGAAATACAAAAGGGAACATAGTGAAACAAAACGAAGAAACAAACATACAAAATGAAGAAATTTTGCTCATATTGTAATAAAAATAGCCTGTATACGCACTTGCCCTGTTTACAAACTTACCCCACTTCACCTTCTAAACAATTTTCTGTTGAATTTGTAGCGTTCGATATACCTGTTTCTAGTAATCAATCATGACGACAACCGGTTATTTCGCTACTTACTCTTCCAAAGTTTATAGGTTACTTTCTATGTATTTTTCTTACATTTTCCTACAGTGTTCATATTTTCGTGTAAAAGAATTTCTTTCCAAAAATCCTCGATTTTAAAGGTACTGTCTATTGTTTACAAATTTTTGTACTGTTTTCATTGTTAATTCATCGTATACATTCATCGATAAAAAGTATACCATATTCTTTCTAAATCTTTGTAAAAATAAATCTAAAATCCATATAATTGAAATCAGATAATTTAAGAGAATTATGAAATTGGGCCATTACGTTTAATTCACTTTTTTCAACAATTTTGGTTTAAATATCGTTGATCTTCGAACGCAAAATAAGAGTGCAATATCATCATGCGTACCCAGAGATCCAGTTATCACGAAAAAGCATGTCACGCAAAAACTGTTGATTTGATAAAATAAAAGATCCAAGTAGCTGATTGCTTATTATACCCATCCAAAAAATTTAATAATAAACGATACGTGCGATTTATTTGAGTAATCGCGTAATGGTTTTCTTCTGTTCACGCGTGCTTTATGTGAAAATTTGTAATGCCGTTTTTTGTAAATGTTGCTTCAATGGTATATAAAACGAATTATGAATTTCATTCATGTTTTACAAGAATTCACTGCGGAAGTTTAATTCTTGCTGAATAATCTGGGGGGATAAGAGTCAACACAGGTTGAGTATATGTAGTAGTCACAGTTGATCCTGAAGAATTCTCTACACAAAAGAATGACCGACTTTTATTACTGCTGAAATTCTTGTCATATTTGTTTCTGTATTTTTTTCGACTGCCCTTAGGATGCAAATGTCGGTATCAAAGGTGGGAAAAAATCTTTTCAAATCTCGGTGTCGTATTTTGAAAGAACCGATCTTAGGAAGACGTTGATAAAGTTTCGTAAATAATGCATGAGATGGCGTTTTGCGGTCCGGATATTTTTTCGTGTAAAGTCGTCGAGTGGTTACAGCATTTCCATCGGTGAGGTCATACGTAAAATACATTTCTGCTATTTCCTGACTAGAATAATACCATATCATAACGATTTCTCCGAAAACTTTCAAATATTTCTCACTGACAGTTATTTATTGATCGTACTGATATGAAACTAATATTCTTCCGCTAAAGCGTAATAATTCTTTGGTATAACGCGTGCATGGAAAGCTTATGTAAACGCCAGTACAAATATTATAGTAGTAAGATATTCGATTATATATCATTTATCAACAGTACAAGTAACAATAAAATATTCGATTACCAGATGTAAATAAATGAAACTTGAAAAAAACTTGAGCAACAAATTGCTTATAATTGCTTTGACCACATAATTTTGTTTTAGTTGTGTCTAATAGAATTTTTTGATTCTTTCTGACGGAGTACTACTTATCCTTAAAATACTTCATACTATTTTTTTTAAGTTATTTATTTTACACTTTTATGAAATTTCTTTAAAATTCAGCCGAAGGTAAATAATAATGTCTGTACACTACTGAAATTTTAAATGGGTTAATTGCATCAAAATGGAAATAACGGCAAAGAACGCAATGAATTTTCAGCAATGATTTTCTTGAAAACTAAGACGAAAATGAAAAAATTCTATTCTCTATTTTTTTTACAAAGATTTACGTACCGTCTGCTTTTACGTATGCCGAGTACTATACGTTAGTAAAATTATTTTTTAAACAATTATATTCTCACAAGTGCAATAGTGGGATCTTTCACGATAAGTCGATTTATAAGAAAAATACATACAAAGAGAGTTCTGTTTGTGGATCTAAGGTTTTATAGCATTTAAAATAGATCGTCTTCAAAATATATTCCTTCTGAACACATACATTTATGGAATCTTTTTTCCAAATTGCAAATATTTTCTTGCAAGCTAATCTCAAAATTCATTTCAACTCTTCGTACAATTTTATAATTATGTCCTTTCATGTATCGAAACATTGCACTTTCATTGATCGTTTGAAACGAGGAAAGAGAAAAAAGTTGGCTGACACTTTTTATCACAAAAAACAATTTGAAGTATCTTCACTATTTCAGATGCTATTTTCTTAAGATTAAAATAGAACCTTATGCATGTGTTTTGCTCATGAAAATCACTCATCTTTAAGAAACACCAAAGCCACAGTTAACTGCAACTGACAATTACTAGACAACTACGCAATCGATTGTTACGAAGCGTGCACACATATAGGAAAGCAATCGATCATGCGAATTTCATTTTCATCCGTTGCTCGTAGCGTTTTCTACAATGCCTTGTATAAATTATATCAACCCCCTCTATTTTCACTAAACTTCTCAGCTAAAAATTGTAGTCAATATTTCTTAAATACTAATTCGTAGTATGCAAACGTAGAATGCAAGATTACGTAAAAAGAAATTCCTTCCAAAAAATATTTCACATTTTCCCATATGCTGTGCTAATGTGAATTAAAACCATTTGGTCCATCTAAATTCAATTTTTTATTTCGTCACTACATATTCTACAAATAAACTAAAAACGTATAAATAAAAAATTATAACTACAAAGTATTCGATTTTTTTTATTTTTACTTATGCAGCTCGATGACCGATGAAAATTAGCGTATTTATGAAACGCCTGAAAATTCGGTTTCATGCAACCAAGGTTAATATTCACATTAATAGATCATTTTTATTTTACACGGTTTATTCTATGCACATTAGAAATTAATATTCAAGGAATACTCGCCGTAATTTTCTACCGAAAGGTCAAACCGTTGAAAATATGAGAGATTAGTATATTTAAGCAACGCATTGTATACCAGGAGTACTTTTTGTACACACCTTGTGTATTCATTGACTAAGCGATTTACCTGCTTTGTTTATGACAATGTCCTTACAAAGTCCTGTACTAATTTCCACAATAATCACAACATAACTCTCGTCTCACCATGGCAATGATCATAATGAAACATGTTCAGAAGTAGCAACGAATAGAATTAGCTACGCCTCATAGCGTCTTCGGCATTTTTCCAAAGGGCATCCCCTTTTTTCTCGCGGTTCGAGAATGCCTAATAATTCAGATTTAACGGCGTCCGTGATGGGACATAGGATATTCTTGTGTATCTAACACTTTGATCACCCTCGAACACACCTCCCTCGCGTGCTTCACCTTTGTGACGGACATAAAATCGATTTCCCATACCATAAGCACTCCATAAAAATGCTTTCACGGGGCCTCGACAAAGAGAGAAAGGGGAAAAGTTTTACGTAGCGGAAAACGAAAAAGTGGGTGGAAGGAAATGATCTAAGCTATGTTCATGATACATTTAGTTTCTTCTATTCCTGAATTTCGGCTTAAACCCTGTTTGGATGAAGCTATTCGCTGAGGTCGGCAAACATCAGAAAGCTCGGATCACATCCCATCAAGTGAAAGCTGCACTTTGGGCGACATCTTTCGGATTGTCCCGGATGCGGCACTGCTGTATGTGAAAATTATTACGTTCTTGGATGATATTAACCCTTTGGTCGTGAAAGGTGTATCAGGGTGGTCCCATTTAACATGACGCACAATTCTTCAACCATTTACGGCTACGTAAGGGTTATTAACTAAAATCTATCGATATCAATTGCGGAACAACGATAATAATAATAATTTTCTGCACAGTTTATTTTTATAGTGAAATTAATGTTACCTGGGTATACTTTTCTCCATTATACAAGATGTATAAAAAATTGCAATACAAATAACGACTCTACGTAAAAAATATCTCAATATGTGTTACGTTCCGAACAGGAATCTTTTTCAAAATTTCCTTTGTAGTTCTGACCGACCGGATGTGTATCGATAATGCGTATTGCATTCTGGGAACACCCTGATCGAACGCAGTAACGGTCTTTCAATGTTTATTAGATAGACTATCTTTTGGCGACTAA